TGCAGAGCCCTGACCTGTCAGAAGCTCTGTCTTCCACGTGTGAACGTTAACATCCAGCTCCGGCTCCAGGTGTCTGCCAGAAGCTCCTGCTGGTAAGAAGGACTGGAGAACTTTTACCATCCCATGGACCTCTGAGATCCTTGCCAGAGTGTCACCGTCACCTGTATGACAAGGTCCCATCCCAAATCTTCACTCCAGTCAGCAGCAAGGGGGAAGAGAAGCTGTGGTGGCCACACCCTGTCCCCTTAAAGGCAGGCCTAGGCCTGGTCACATGCCACTCCTGCCCTGCAGGGCCTGGGTAGTGCTGTGGGCACTGGAAGGCCACGTGCCCAGCAGGGACTCACTGGCTCTTGTACTAAAAGAGGAAGGAGTGTGGATGTTGGGGCCAAAGACCAGACTCTGCTGTTGCACCTCCCAGTAAGAGCTTTCTCTAATTTTATTTGACTTCCTTCTAACTCCTGTGTGTCCAGCCCCCGTGGTCCTTAAGGTTTCTGTGCTGACCTCTTGCATATGGGGGTTGTGAGTGGCAGCTCATATTTCACTTTTTATAAACTTCTAAGCTTTGCCTCCACCAAAGGCCCAGGGTCTAGTACGAGCTGAGTGCTCGGTATTTGTTCCCAAAGTCCATTTCCCTGAGCCTCCAATGCTGCCATTGTGAAGGGGACCTAACCCTGGCTGCAGATGCGGGCCTCCGGTCTCTACCTCCAACATCACCTAACAGTCTCCCCTGTGTGTCTCTCCTGTCACTTTTCTCCTTAAGGACATCAAGGACCCACACACTCCAGTGTGACCTGTCCATCCTGATTTATGCCACTATGGCATCTGCAAATACCCTAATTCCAAACAAGGTCACGTTCACAGGCACAAGGGCTTAGAACATCAATGTCTCTCTTGGAGACACAACAAACCTCAGAGAGGACCTGCCATTCACAATCCAACCCTCAACAGACCTCCAAAGGACCTGTCCCTTCTCTCTTTAGGAAGGCACAGTCCCCCAAATAATCCAGAAGCATATCTCATAGATGCCCATGTGGCCACAGGCGTTCCGTCCCCGGGGGCAGCGTCTACTCCATCAGATCGCATGTGCCTCCAGTCGTTGGGGTCTGTTCATGTGTTAGTAAGATTGTGCACATTTGGAGTGCCTGACGCGTGGTTTGAGATCCCCATGCACTACAGGATGGCTGCACCAAGCTCGTGGACATATGCCTCTCTGCCGTGTCTTCCGGGGAAAGAACACTTTGACTCTACCTGCCGCGGTCCTCAAGTGCACAGAGAGTAGGTAGTTAGCTGTTGCAGCACTGCATGTGGTGGGCCTTGCTTGTCCCTGCAGGCCCCACTCCGCCTCCAGCCCCTGGCTGGTGCCCCATCGGCTGCTGCGACTTCCCCTTTCTCAGGCTGCACCTCCCGGGGAAGCCGAGTGGTGCTGGCTCTCTGTCTGCTCATCCACTGGCCTGAGGTCCCCGGCTCCATCCGGTTGCCACCAGGGCAGGGTTTCCTTGCCCTCAGGTGGGTTGTTCTTAACAGGCTGCACCCCAGCCCTGCCGAGCTTCCCACCCCAGCACGTACCGACTCTGCCCAACCCACCAGCCCTGTGTCAACAGCACTGTCCACCATGTCCTGGGTGCTGCCCTGCACATCACCAAAGACTGCCTGACGAATGTGAAGGAGCCATACTGGTGGATACTGGTGGCCGTCTCTCAATCTGCATTGGCCAAATGACCTCCAGGTGTGAAGACTCTCCTGTATTGGACTGTTCTTGATCCCCTTGAGCCCAGGGGGTTTGTCCTCTGGTCTGACCCTTAGCATGGTTTGGAGTGAATGAAAATCACTTTAAATAATTGCTTTGATAGGAAAGGAAGGCAACAGCCCCCTTCTGCTGTGAGCCAAGCAGCCTGGACACAGGGGCATCTTCAAGAGAGAAAGGTGGTCATTGACTAGCAAATGTCCCCAAGTGTGTCTTCCTTTTTGATACTTAAATAGTCCCCCAGCAGATCAGGGAAGGTGAGGGAAAGACACATCCTCTCATTGGCCTGAGTTAATTGTACTTGCTCAGAAAGGCAAGCTATTGATTCTGTTCCCAGGCAAGTTTCAAGCAATTAATTTAGTTGATGAAATAGGGAATTTTCCCCTCTGTCTTCAAATCTCTGTTCCTAAACTACATTATTTGGTGTGCGGCATTTAAGCAACTGCCTCATTAAGCTAGTGTTCCTGAGGAAAATGTTGCAGAATAGGGACATTCATAATTAATGCTGTGATGTCAGGATTTCATCCGCCCAGGCCTTCCCCACTAGTTTCTTATACTTAATTATCTCTGTAATGAGCGACCACCACACTGAAAAATGAACACACCAAGGAGTGATGTGGTAAAGCACATGTAGGGAAATACAGTTATAAGCTTTGGGGGCCACCTTTGGCGTCAGAACACTTGTCCATATGCCACTGTCGCATTGTGGCTGGATTAAAGGAACAGGCACTCTTCCCCGGGTGGGCAGCAGACATGTGTCGTTCCCCAGGGAGGGGGGCTCAAGGTCTGCCCCACACCTACCCTGTGTAATCTGCACCCAGATGCTCTGAACAGTGAATTGAGCTCAGAGGAAATACCCTGCGTGTGTCGGTGGAATTGACAGAAATCATTCTGCACCCAGCTCAGGCCTCCCCACCCCTCTTCTCGGCCTCCTGGGTCCATGTGTGGCCCTCCCTGTCTATTGCTGGTCAGGCTCGAGCAGATGAACCTCCCTCTGGTCCAAGGGCAGGTCTAGAAGCGAGGTGTTCACAAAGGTGGTGGAGAGGAGGCGGGGCCTCCCTTGCCTGGCCCCCTGTGAGCGGGCATGTTAGATGGGACAAGAGTGGCCTAGTCATGCCCAGGGCTGCTCGGGTTCAAGGACAAGGAATGGACGGGCAGCGTCCTGGGGTGCCTGGCCGTCAGGGCTGTGTCTGGCCGGCCTTTCCTCCTTCACGAAGCCTGGGTTGCCACCAGCCCTGCTTCTCCGCTCAGCCTTCCCTGAGCTGGATTTGCTCCACCGCTGACCGCAGAAAGCTGGGCTCCCTTCTGCCCTGTCCCTCCGACTCTGCTCACTCACCGTGATTGCTGATCACCCCTTCCTCCCAGCCTGCAGGGCAGGAGTGACTGAGCAGAATCACCACAAATTGCATTCAAAGGTGCCGATTTTTCCAGCAGACCAAGTGCTGGAGTCTGTCACTTACGGTGCCAGGTAACTCCACGCACAGTCACTTCTGACCCTCTCCTCCAGCTGCCAAAGGCTCTGGCATATCCTGTAAGAGGCCTGAGACTCCTACAGACCTGAGACTCAGCCACCCTGCTCCTTGCTGCTCCTTCCCAGCCCTGTCCCCACAGGCAGTGGCAACACTTCTGAGGAGCTGGGAAGATGCCCAAGGTCACAGCACTGCAGGTGGAAGGGACCTTAGTGTCCCAGATGGGGCCTTGTGAAGAGACAGCTGAAGGGGTTCAAGCACAGGACTCAGGGCCCTGTGTCCACTCTCCCTTAGCTCTGTGCTTACCTCTGGTGGCAGTGGGGGGCAGTGTCCTCTCCACGGGCTCCGTGCACCCTGAGGCTCTGCTGTCTGGTGCTGGGGTTGTCCCATGCCCAAGTCACATTCTGCAGGAGTCCCCCTGGGCTGCCTGCAGGAGGGTGCTCTAGAAGACAGGGAGGAGCTGTCTGAAAGGAGATCAGCACATAATGAAGCTCATAATTCCTCCACCCGAAGGTGCCAGGAACATCGGGAGGGTAGGGGGTGGGAAGAACAAACCCCCCACCGCGCGGCCTCCGGGCTCCGACACCCAGCAGTGAGACCCACTGCGTGCCTGATGGGGGTGGGCGACTGGGAGGGCCTGCGTCCTCCTGGAGCGTCTTCACCCCCATCTGCTCTCAGTCCCCCAGACCCCGAGGCTGGCGCCAGCTCCCCATCTCCCTGCTGGGTCCCCACCAACAACCATGTCCTCCCGTGGCGGCCACCCCAGCTTCCCTCCAGCCTGTCCCCGGTGAGGACATGCGCAAGTTCTTTCTCATGTGTCCTTGGGTCCAGCAGGCTCGTGATACCCCTGCCCAGTGCAGCCAGACTCCTGTGTGCTATGATGTGGATGATCATTCTAGAAGAAAACCTAGAAAGAGCTGGCTCACACGACAAGGTTCCCTTTCTCACAGGAGAGCCCCCTGACCTGCAAGCGGTCAGCACCGTGATGGCCGCTCTGACTCCAGGCGTTCTGACTTGGAGCATTGGAGGTGTCTGCCCTTCGCATGTTAAAAACACTGCAGTAGAATTCTCTTTCTGGATTGGATTTCAGACACTAGGAGGCCCGTCTATAGGTGACACTGATCAGTCACATCCCTGTGGGATGGCGCTGAATGACGGGTGCTTCCAGCTGAGCCTCAGGTCACTTTCCCCCTGAGTCCTTTCTGAGATGCCCCTGTGGCATTTTTCTGCCAAACAGTGAAGCCACGCCCTCTGTTAAGGTGAGGCACACCTGGCTTAACACATTCCGTCTCCTCGGGGCTGAGTCTTAGGGGGCTGTGAGTCTGTGCGGGTCCCCGGGTCCCCCCAGGTGGGCCTGTCTTTCTGTGATGGGACCTTTGGAGGGCCATCCTTCCTCACTGGGTTCTATCCAGATGTGCCACGCCACGGTGTGAGCTGACTTCCTCTAGTTCTGTTATTAAAATAACGATCTCCAACATAGAATAGTAGTTCCACTCAAAGGCACTCATTAGCAGAGAAAGGGTTTATAAAAGTGTAACAGTTATAATAATGGGAATATGACATTGAAGGAGATAATTAAAATATAATGATGACCAGCTTTTTCTAAAAAGCATTCCTTAGGCTCATAGTTCTCAAATGCAGACACTTCCTGGGCCGCCATGGAACGCCAGTGGGGACACTGCAGGGTCCCTGCACAGATGTGCAGCCCCGCGGGTCCAGCCACCCGAGCTGACCCTGGCTCCGCCCCCTGGCTGCCTGCTCACCGCGCTCTCCTTTGTTTCCCTCAGAGGAGATTCTGAAGACCCACATCGCGCACTGGTGGTCTCCCGATGGCACGAGGCTGGCCTATGCCACCATCAACGACTCCCGTGTCCCCCTCATGGAGCTGCCCACCTACACGGGCTCCGCCTACCCCACCGTGAAGCCCTACCACTATCCCAAGGTGAGCCGAGCGCCAGGAGCCGGGCCCTGAATCGCTCATGAGCCCCGGGCACCCAGGAGCGAGGCGGTGGGTAATCAGGCGTGTGGGTGAGCAGTGCCGTAGACACAGGCAAGATCAATTACTTCTCATTACCTTGCATTAAGTTCCCATCTTTGTTGAGTGGAATTCGTTGGCAGGTTTACTTTATTTTAAATAATTGAGTGTTCATCATTCGCCTGAGCTTCCCTGGAACCAAAATAAATACATTGCCCTCACCGTGACACTGGGTGACAAAAATCGTGGTACCACACTTCCTCTTCACGAGCCTTCGAGGACATGACTTCTGAGAAGTCTGAACAACTTCTGGCTGTCCCTGGGAGGGGCTGGCCAGTGTACCTTGTGCTTGGTACACAAGGTACAGAGTGAGATCCTTGCCCCAGGGTGAAGACATTAGGAGGTAGACCTCCTGGGTGAGGTCACCTCCAGGTGACCACCTAGGAGGTGACCAGGCCATGAGGGGCCTTCACAACTGGGAATAGTGCCTCATAAAGGAGGCTCTGGAGAGGTGACCAGGAGAGGACCCAGTGACAAGGCTCATCGGTGTGGACGGGGACCTCACCGACCCCCAGTCTGCCAGCACCTTGATCCTGCACCTGCAACCTCCAGAACTGTGAGAGACACATCGCGGCTGCCTAAGGGCTTCCCAGTTTGGGGTGTTTTGTTATAGCAGCCTGAATGGACGAAGACCGTCAATTTCTGACCCAAAGAGCAGCAGAACATCCAGGGTTCTCTGCAGGGCACGGGCATCCAAACTCACTTCATTACCGAACACAGCCGTAACACTCAAGGGGAGGGCCTGGTGCTAAAATGTCAGCCCACTCACCTGTGGGAGGCTGAGGCCAGGAGTGGGATGCAGCTCCTGTCCACTGGCTTCAGCAGCCACTGGCCACACTGAAGGGAGCCCCTCCCTGCTGGGCCTCACTCCACCTCTGAGAGCCAGCAGTGCCTGCCCCTCCCCTGAGAACTCCCTGGACCTACCAGCCTATGGTTCGCTGCCAGAGGAGCCATACTGTCGGTGGACGTTCTCCACCGCTCGCTCACCCCCTGGCTGGGCTGCGTGCACCTTCCCCCTCTAGTCTTTCCCTTCCCGTGACGGTTTGCCAAGGCCAGCAGAACTCGCTTGACCTCAGCAGAATGAGCCTGTTGGACGGAATGGGAAGGGGCAGGTGTTCTGGAAAGGGAAAGAACTGTCCTGGTTTTCTCCTTTCTCACTTTAAAGTTCTACAGGTGGCTGGCCTGTCCTCCACACGGTGAACGCCATGCCTCGTGCTGAGTTCCGCCCTCCTGCAGTCCCACATGTGCCTCTTCTGGGAAGGCTCTGCAAGGCTGGGGCGCTCTGCAGGCCAGAGGTCACTCACTCACGTCTCCGCCCCTTGGCTTCACAGGCTGGCAGTGAGAACCCCAGCATTTCCCTGCACGTCATCGGCTTGAATGGACCCACCCACGACCTGGAGATGATGCCCCCTGACGACCCACGGATGAGGTCTGTTTTCCTCCCTCTCGTAGGTTAGAGGAGAATTGAGATGAAAGGTATGGTGTGGTCTCCTCGGGACCAGACTTGTCTCACTAGTAAGATAAATATCCAAGAACGAGGTGCATTTTCTAGTGTTCCTTACTGCTTTATGATTGGGTTTCCTGAGGGGAAAAAACAATGAATCCCAGTCAGCAGGTGCTGCAGCTCAGCCGACATCAGGAGTGCTGACCCCCGGGAGGCTGGGCTTTTCCCAGAGGGCCATGTCTCGGGTGGGTGGCACTGATTGCACGTGGCACACTAGATGGCATTCACTGGGAGACCTGGTGCAACCTCCCCAGAAAGTCCTTGGAGGCAGAATGTTTTCAAAGGGTCCCCGTGTCTGGAGCAGCCCTAGAGGGAATCTGTAACTGACCAGCTCCTGCTGGGGGCTGGTGATTCCCACTGTTCTCAGGCCAGATCTCCCACTGGGAACAACCACGGAGCACATCAGCAATGTCACTGACGTGTTATTATCAGTATCTGGTTTAGTAGGTTTTTTTTGTTAAGTCAAAACAACTGAGTAGGATCTGCCAAAGAGGAGCCTCCTCAGTATCAGTTCAGCTTTGCCCCCAAATTCAAGCAGCCGGGGGCTGATGACACCACCAGTGTCCAGTTACGTCCCAGGTGGACCTTCCTCTGTTGAGACTATGGGTGGAGACTCGAGCAGGGAGCAGCGCGGGGTGCTGGGGGTCCGCACGTCCACAGGTCCCCACGGCACTGCAGAGGGGCCTGTTTATGCCCCAAATCATTCATTCGCGGCTCGGCAAATATCCAGCGCCAACTCTGTGTGCCTCTAGCCTGGCTCTTCGTCATCGTCAGAACCTTCTGGCAACTTCTAAAACAAGAGGCCGGGCCCTCTGCTCTGGCTCCCGACAGGTCTAGCTCAGTGGTGGATGCCCAGCACCCTCTGAATGGCCTTCACGCTGTCCTCATCCAACCAGGAACCCGCACAGAGCCGGAGCTCCCCGCTCTTCGCCCTTAATGGGACCTGATGCCGTGGTCCTCGGGAGGGCAGAGCGGACACGGGGCTGCTGTCCATCAGGGCTGTCGCTGCCCTCTCCCTGCCCTGGATTGTTCCTCCCCCTCCCACAGGAGGACCAAAGTCTCCCCAGGGAGGAGGTGGACCTGGCCCCCGGCAGCTGCCCCAGGGCCTGGCTCTGCCGATCTGTCTTTGGCAGGCTGCCCTCGGTGTGCGCTGCTCAGAGGAATCAAATCAGCTTGGCTGTTGATGTTTTTCTGGGATAAAACAAAGTTCAGATTATTACTTTGGCTCCTCTCCTGAAGACCCACAGATCTCACTGTTCCCATCCCCGCCAGCCTCCTGGGGCCTGGTCCAGCCAACTCGCTGAATTAATAGGGAAAGTCACCTGGAAAATCTCAGCCATCTGCTGGAGTTAATTGAAAGTCTCATTTAGTCAATTTGGTGATGCTGTTTCCGCAGGCATGATTAGCTTCAAGGACAATGAAAAATTAGCCTCAGTCAGAACTCGACGTTTGGATGCTGGCTGTTGGGCTTTCTGCTCGCTCTGGTTTCCTCAGCTAAATGAGATGACGCGTTCCACGAGCATTATGGATGTGTAATGAGCAGATGCTACTTCTCTTACTGCTCCTCTGTCACACATCCTGAGACCTTAAAGGCGAGGCGAGCAGGGGTAGGTCAGAAAGCAGAGACCAAAGGCAAGCAGCTATCGCCCCTGAAGAACACGGTGCCCAAGAGCTTGGATGAGCCCCCAAGCCTCCCCTGTGCTCTGTGCCATCCCCCCAGTCCCCACAACCACGATGACAGGAAACGCTCTTCTGTTTTGCTTTTTAGTGAGGCTGAGGATAAATCCAGGGCCTTGCGTGGGCTACTGGTAGGCAAGGGTTCTGCCACTGAGCTATCCCCAGGCCTGGGCAAATGGCCCGAGACCACAGAACTACAGCTTGAACCCTGGTGGTCGGCTGGAGATCATCCCCCTAAGCCAGGGGTCATCGTCGGGAAGCTTTAGCGATGAGTGGAGACTCTATAGTGCGTAGGGCAGGCCCCCAGCAAGGACTCCTCAGGGCCCAAACGCAGCAGTGCTGAGGCTGGGACATCTGGCTTAACTGTGACACTGTCATCTCTAGGGGGGTGGCCTCCTCTTCAGACATGCCCTGCATCCTGGCTCTTCTCACACCTGCGATCATTTACTTACTGGTGACGGTTCTTCAAGTCTGCACCCCTTCTCCCCTGCAAGCTCCAGTTTCATTGGAGGCAGGGACAGGGCTGTGCGGCCGTCCGCCCTTCCGCACTCCAGCTTCCCCGGGGGGCCTGCTCGCACCTGGCTCCCTCGGACACCGCGGACGTCGGGCCAGTGCTCTGGAAGCCCTCTGCTGCCACGCACTGTGTCTCTGTGCCACACGCTGTATTAGGACTTGGGACAAAGATTTGGTGGCCTCCCCACGGGGAGCTCATAGTGCAGAGAACTGCGACGGCTCTCAGCCACTGGCCATGAAGAATCATGGCAGAAGCCACCCGTGGGAGCAGACCACCCCCCACGGCGGGCCGTGGAAGTGCTGGGTGGCCCCACGGTGCACAGGGTCCAGGCACCGAGGAAGCCGGCCAGGGACGTCTGTTTAAAGACAACTAAGCGCAGCAACCCCAGAGCCGCCGGGCACAGCGTGGGCAGGTGACCGCCGCCCAGAACGCCTGGTCGCCCTGGGAGGAGCCACCCGACCTGTCCAGGAAGCATAAGGCATCTCTCCTGGGGGCAGAGAGGAGCAGAGGCAGGTCATCACGCACGCACCGGCAGGCTTCTGCGGGCCCACACGGCAGCTGCGCTGATAAAACACATGGTCATTTTTGCTGGTTTCCTCGGGCTCTTCTGCAGCCATTGAGCGGGGTGTTGAATTAAGATGTGGCAGATACTGGCAGTATGGTGCCAAAGACGAGTTGAACTGTGCTGTGGCAACAGGCGATGACAGACACTGACCCAGAGAGCAGCTAGAGGTGTAGACCTCTGCTCTCACCCTGTCCCCTGCCCCAGCTATGTAGTGACCTTAAACATCATTGTATGAATGTCCAGTGCTGAGCTTCTAATTATGCAGTGATGCTTGATTGCTGGCATTCTTAAGGGAGCTGCTATTCCTGTGGTCTTCTCTGACCCTAGGCTCTTCCTTCACACGCAATGCCCATGACACAGCCCACACCGACTTAGATATAAAACAACCTTTTTTTCTTTACAATTTATGTAAATCATGATATGTTGTCTACTTTTTACTAAGAATTCGGGAAGGAAGTCAAAGATCACTGGAGCAATAGAAATACCACAGAATGACAGAGTCCACATTCTTCAGGGCCTGAGCCACCTCCACTAGCATCACCTCCACTTCCATCACCACTGTCTCTACCATCATTATCACTGTCTTCACCACCTCTATCACTTACACCATCAGCTCTACCAGTACCACGTCTACCACAACCACCCATCCCCACCATCACCCACCTCCACCATCACCACCACCTCTACCACATCACCTCTACCGTTACCACCCCACCTGCATCACCCCACCTCAACCATCTCTATCGTTATCTCCACCATTACCACCCATACCTCATCACCTCCACCTCTACCATCTCTACCATCTTTACCACTATCTTCACCACCACCACCTCCACTGTCTCCACCACATCACCTCTACTATCATCATCATCACCACCACCTCCACCATCATCATCATCACCACCTCCACCATATCACCTCCACCATTGCCACCCCCACTCCACCATTTCCACCACTATCTCCACCTTAACACCACCTCCACCACCACTACCACCTCCATCATATCACCTCCACCATTACCACCCACACCTGCATCAACCCCACCTCCACCATCTACACCCCCACCTCTGCCACCTCAATCACCCCCATCATCACCTCTATCAGCACCACCTCCACCATCTCCACCACACCACCTCTACTATCATCCTAATCACCACCGCCTCCAGCACATCAATATCTCGACCATCACCACGATCACTGCCACCTCCACCATTTTCACCTCCACCATCACTACCACCTCCACCACATCATCACTTCTACCATCACCACTATCATTACTACCATTATTATCACCTCCACCATCACTACCACCTCCACCACATCATCACTTCTACCATCACCACTATCATTACTACCATTATTATCACCTCCACCATCACTACCATCTCTGCTACCTCAACCACTTCCACCATCACCTCTATCAGCACCAACTTCACATCATCACTCCCGTCCCCACCATCACCACCACCTCCACCACATCACCAAACCCCCTCTCCTGGTCTCTGCTACTCTCCATCCTGAGGAACACTCTGCCTCTTTCCCTGACATGAGCAGGGCCTACTGCCTGAAATGTGAAATCCTGTTTTGCCCACGCAGCTGGGCTTCAGGGATTGGCCTGGCATCCTCTAGTTGCATATTTGGTTATTGATAGAAGCAGGACCTGAACACAGACCCCTGACACTGAAGCTGCTGCTCATCCCTGTTCAGAGCTGTCACATTTACCTCATGTCCCTCTGTACCAAGCTCCCAGCTGGCGTGAAGCTAGATGGGGGGTGTCACTGGCAATACCTCTCTCCTTCCTGCTTTCCTCCATCCGCATGGGGACTCCCTGGACGTCTGAGCCCTCCTCAGCACGGTGGTTTTCACCTGCAATGGAAGATGAGCCCCCTGCTTCCATCCCCGAATCTGCCACCTACCTTAGCATCGTCCTGGTCTCTCTTTTGTGTTATCTCAGCAGTTCTGGGTATATGGACTTCCAGGTTTCTTTCTTCTGAATTGGACTTCCAGGTTTCTTTGAAAGTCATCTAGATATGAACTACAATTGCAGAATACTCTGCTGCCCTCACAGGGACTTCATTCCATTTCTGCCTCATACATTAGAATAATCTTCTGGGTTCCTAGAGATCAAATGAGCTCATCTTAGCAACATCAATTCAGGGACATCAGCTC